TGTATTACAAATAAAGAAAAGAGCATATTGTATTTGTTAGTACCCACGGTATTATCGTGCCCAACTGCCTCATTAAATTCACACCATAATATAATTTGTTCAGGACTCATCCAAAACAAATTAATCAAAGTATTAGTTTCCTCTTCCCACATAACTTCAACAAACCAACAAGAATCTTCTCATTGTTTGGATAATAGTTGCTCATAAAACTGTGATGCGTCACGTTTAATTGCACTACATGATGGTCGATATCGCTGTATCTTAATATAAAGATCTCTAGCAAATATAGGATGAGAAGAAAACTTCTCTTTTAAGATACGACGTATCATAGTTGCACCAAGATGACATTTAGTGACAAGAAAGTTAATTTCTTCTCGCATTTCTTCTGTGAACTGTTTATCTTTTTCAAACTGAATTGCTTCGGGTGATAAATCATGGTTATGATTATTGTTTAGAGTGGTGACAAATACGCGGAAACCATTGTTATTCTTTGAAGGACATGAAAGATTAACATGCTACTGGCACTGTATTCAAGCCAAAGTACTTGACTTCTCAGCATTTTTTGGTTTAAATAGACCTGAGTGTTTACTGAGAATTGTTTGTTTATGAACTTCCTTGCTATTTTCTGCTGTATCTATCATTTTTACGTGCCCAAGTCATATTTTGAACCCTTTAAATTCAGAAAATCGACATACGTAAAATTTAGCTTTATCAAAGTCGTCAAATGAGTCACCTTCTTTCAAAGATACAGACTCTATATTGTTAGTTATATTACTAATGTCCTCATTACAGTAGAAAGATTCATCGAAATACTCTGTTATATCAAGGTCATCTTCGCTATGATCCAGATCCATAATTACAATTGTCATTTAAGTGGCCGTCTATGAAGTGTTTTTAGCTTGTAAAAGAAACTGATTTATAAGCACAAGGTTAGTAACATAAAAAAACATCATAGTGACAAGCTATTTAAAATCCAGACAAGCGAACCTCAAAAGATCATAACCCCGACAGAATGCTAATTCATTCTGAGTTATGAACTTTTGAGGCTAGTATCAAACCCATGATATTCTTGACATATAGTATAAGTGTTCTTGTCTTGAACAGTCGAAGAAAGTTACTGTTAATCGTGACATAAGGTTGCTGTAGGTAACAAAATTGAGGTAAGATGTATATTCATTTAACGTACAATGAAGTAAATTAAATGCGTGTAAATGATCAAATGCGTAACCAATAAACATATGGGCTGATTTGGGGTTTTGAAATGTTGATCATGCATAACTCACCTGACTAGGGGTGCATCATGGTGCGTGGTGCACCAAAATATAAATTATTTTATTTATTTTTTTTTTTAACGTCTATCCTCTTGGGAGCTAGGATTTTTATTCAGATATATATAGCAAAGGGTTCTCTAGGGACCCCCTACATTAGAGAGTACA